CCGGACGCGCAGGCTCAGCGGCCATGGCTCACGGGCCTAACTGCTCCGCGGCATGTGGGATATTCCCAGACCGGGGCACCATCCCGTGTCCCCTACATTGGCAGGCGCCACCAGGGAAGCCCTATTGTCTTTTTTTAATGCACACTGATATGACAGCTGTCACATACAATCTGACAAAATTGTTTGGAATAAAGTTAAAGACAACTAAGTGCTACTAGAGCCATCTTATGAAAGAAACCGAACTAACCTTTGGCTCACCCGATAGAATGATGTAGTATTTGCATATAACCTACACACATCCCCCTGTATACTTTAAATCATCTCTAGATTACTTACCATGTAGATGTTATGTGAATAGTTTCCAGTGCACAGTAAATTTAAGTTTTGCTTTTTGGAAATTTCTGGATTTTTAAAAAATATTTTTGTTCTGTGGTTGGTTGAATCTGTTGATGCAGAACCCCCAGATACAGTGGGCCAACAGTATATATTTTTATGTATTTTTTATGCTGAACTGTCCTTGCATTCTAGGAATAAATCCCACTTGATCATGGTGTACAATCCATTTAATGCGTTGTTGAATTCTGTTTGCTAGTACTTTGTTGAGGTTTTTTTTCATCAATATACATCAGGGATATTGGTCTGTTGTTTTCTTCTCTTGTAGCATACTTGTCTGGCTTTATTATCAGGGTAGTGGTGGCCTCATAAAATGAGTTTGAAAGTATTCTCTAATCTTTGGTTTTTGGGAAGAATTTGAGAAGGATTGGTGTTATTCTTTAAATGCTTGATAAAATTCTCCAGTGAAGCCATCAGATCCTGGGCTGTTCTTTGTAGGAGGTTTTTGATTACTGATTTAACCTCCTTACTAGTTATAGGTCTGTTTAGATTTTTATTTCTTCATGATTCAGTCTTCATAAGTTGTGTGTTTCTAGAAATATATCCATTTCTTGTAGATTATCCAATTTTGGGGTGTATATTTGTTCATACTACTCTCATTATCTTTTTCATTTCTGTGGCATCAGTTGTAATGTCCCCTCTGTTATTTCTGATTTTTGTGTTTTGGGTCTTTTTTCTTAGTCTAAGCATCTGTCAATTTTGCTGATCTTTTGAAAAACTAGCTCTTAGTTTCATTGATTTTTCTACTGTTCTTCTATTCTCTTTTTTGTTTATTTTTCCTTTATTCTTTATTATTTCCTTCCTTCTACTAACTTCGGGCTTTATTTGTTCTGTTTTCTTTAGTTCCTTGAGGTGTAAATTTAGGTTGTTGATTTGAGATCTTTTTAAAGTAGATTTTTATCTCTATAAACTTCCTCTTAGTACTGCTTTTGCTGCATTGCCTAAGTTTGGTATGGTGTTTTTAGTTTTCATTTGTCTCAAGATATTTTCTAATTTTTCCTGTGATTTTTCTTTGACCCATTTGTTATTCAAGAGTGTGTTGCTTAATTTGCGCATATCTGTGAATTTTCCAGTTTTCTTTTTGCTGTTGATTTCTAGTTTCATTCCACTGTGGTCAGAAAAGATACTTGGTATGATTTTAATCTTTTTAAATTTGTTAATATTTGTCTTGTGGCCTAACATATGATCTATCCTGGAGAATGTTCTATGTGATCTTCAGAAGAATATGCATTCAGCTGTAGTTAAGTAGAGTGTTTGCTATATGTCCATTAGGTCTAATTAGTCCATGGTGCTGGTCAACTCCTCTGTTTCCTTATTAATCTTCTGTCTCGTTGTTCTATCCATTATTGAAAGTGGGGAATTAAAATCTCCTACTGTTATTTTATCACTATTTCTCCTTTCAATTCTGTCATTGTTCGCTTCATATATTTGGGTGCTCTGCTGTTAGATGCATATACATTTATAATGGCTATATCTTCCTGGTGAATTGACCCTTTTATCATTATATAATGTCCTTTGCCTCTTGTGACAGTTTTTGACTTAAAGTCTATTTTTTCTAAGTGTGATCATCCCTCTCTTTTGATTACAGCTTGCATAGAATATCTTTTTCCATTTTTTTCACTTTCAGCCTATGTTTGTTTTTATATCTAAGGTAAGTCTTCCATAGACAGCATAAAGTTGGATCTTGTTTTTTATCCATTGAGCCTTCTATGTCTTTTAACTGAGGGAGTTTAATCCATATAAAAATTGAGAGTAATTACTTAAAGAGAAAGACTCACTATTGCCATTTTGTTCATTGTTTTCTGTTTGTTTTATAGTTATTTTGTCCTTCTTTTCCTCTCTTGATGCCTTCCTTTGTCTTTCATTTATTTTTTTGTAATGGCATGCTTTGATTCCCTTCTCATTTTCTGTGTGCATCTTCTGTAGGTATTTTCCTTGTAGTTACCCTGGAGAGTACATAAAACGTCTTATAGTTATGACAATCTATTTTAAATTGATATCAACTTAACTTCAAGCACATAGACTCTGCCCTCCTCCCACTTTATGTTATTAGTGACACAAATCACTTCTTTTTATATTTTGTATCACTTAACATAGTTTTTTTAGTTACAGTTTTCTTTTATGCTTTTATCTTTTAAATTCTCTACCAGAATTAAAAGTGACTTATCCACCACCATTACTGTATTACATGATTCTTTGTTTGTCTATGTATTTATTATTACCAGAGAGCTTTATATTTTTGTATGCTTTTGTGTTACAGGCTAACATCCTTTCATTTCAACTTGGATTCCCTTTAGCAATTCTTGTAAAGCAGCGCTAGTGTTAATGTACTCCCTCATCTTTTGCTTATCTGGGAAGTTCTATATTTTGTCTTCATTTTTGAAGGTTAGGCTGTCCAGATACAGTATTCTTGGTTGACAGCTTTTTTCTTTCAGCATTTTGAATATATCATTTCACTCCCTTCTGGCCTGTAATGTTTCTGCTGAGATATCTGCTCATAATCTTATGGAAACTTCCTTGTACATGACAAGTCTCCTTTCTCTTGCTGCATCTGGTGCTCTATGTCTTTGTTTTGATTATAATGTGTCTTTGTGTTGGCCTCTTTGAGTCCACCCTACTTGGAGTTCTTTGAACTTGAATTTAGATGCCTATTTCCTTTCTCAGGTTTGGGAAGTTTTCATCCAAATTTTCTTAAAATAAGCTCTCTGCCCCTTTTTCTCTCACTCTTCTGTGGCTCCCATAATGTGTATAATGTTCAGTTTTTTGGTGTCCCTCAAGTCCCTTAGGCTTTCTTCACTTTTTTAAATTCCTTTTTTTTGTTGTTCCTCCAACTCAATCATTTCAAATGACTTGTGTTCAAGTTCACTGATTCTTTCTTCTGCTTGATTAAGTCTGTTGTTGAACATCTCTAGTGAAATTTTCAATTCTATTATTGTATTCAGCTCCAGAATTTCTGTAAGATTTTTTAAAATAGTTTCTATCTCTTTGTTGATATACTCATTTTTTTCATGCATCATTTTCCTGATTTCATTTAGTTGTTTATATGTGTTTTCTTGTAGCATTTTGAGCTTAAGATGATTGTTTTGAATTATTTGTCTGGTAATTTGTAAATCTCCATTTCTTTAGGGTAATTTTTAAAGATTTATTTTATTCCTTTGGTTGGGCCATATTTCCCTGTTTCTTTATCTGCCTTGTTATTTTTTGCTGTGATTTATGCATTTGGGGAAACAGCCACCTTTCCCAGTCTTTATGGACTAGATTTATACGGAGGAAGACCTTCAACAATAAACACAGCTGGAGATTCTGGGGGTCTCTCAAATATTTTCTGGGAATGTGTCTTCTCTGGATTTGTGTTTGTAATTTCCCAATTACAGAGGTTTCTTTTTCAGGAGGTTGTAATCACTTGCTCTCTCTGGTGGTACTGCCTTCTGTGGTACTGCAGGCTCTCTAGTGTTGCAACAAGCCTCCAAGCTCTCTTTTTTGCTTAGAGGCCCCCAGCATGTAAAGCATGCCAGTTCTGTCAGTGCTCCAAATCAGATGAGATGAAAGCCAAATCTTCGATCAGCCCCTCTTCAAAAGTCAGAATTCCCACTCTGTTTTTCTCTTTCCTTCCCAAAGGAGAAGCCATGAGGTGGGCTGTTTCTTCTGATTGTGCCGAGTTGTGCTGGCTGCCATCTGCAGTATGCTACAAGTTCTCTGATGCTGCAACAATTCCATGAGCTCTTTTGTTCTCAGAATTCCCCCCTGGGGAATCGAAAGTATGCTGGTTCCCCATTAGCACCCTGTATCAGGCAAGACAGAAATCAGTCCCTCAGGCAATCCCACCAAAAGCGGGAATACTGGACCTAAGTTACGCTCTCCTTTTTCCCTCCCAAGGGAGAAGCTCCAAATTGGACTTTTTCTCCTGATCACACCGAGCTGTGCTGGCCTGGGGGAGGAGTGATTGCAGATTAAATAACCTTAAAAACCTGCAATAAGATTGCAGATTAAATAATGGCTTTTCTAACCTATTTTAATTGCCTGTTCTTTGCTGTGAGCTTGACTGGGTAACTATGATTTCTTAACTGGCTTCTGAAGTTCTCATAAAGGCTTTTTGGACTGTGTATTTTGGCTACATTGGAGAAATAAGTCTTGGGGCTTCCTATTCCACCATCTTGCTCTGTGTTCAGACTTTCACTTTTTATTCAATATAGTTCTTCCTGTTTGAACTTTTTGTATCCACCACATTTTATTTTCAAAATATGTAAAAAAGTATTCAAATTAAAATTTAAAAGTTTTGGAGAAGAAAGTCTTTTCATTGCCAAGAAAGGTAAGCACATAGAGAGCATTGGTTTATACTATTTTATTACTATAATTGTTCTAAAATTCAGTAAGTATTAGCTTATTTTCACATATATTATACAAAACTTCCACTATTGTAACCTTTTCCAAATTTTTCTTGTTGCCTTAGCAAAAGTGTAATAAGGCAATTTGCTATGGTATAAGAAATAAGTTAACAATATAAATAATTATAGAGCAGACATTTAAAATACCCCTTAACTAATGTAGGTAAGAAAGCTGTAAAATAAATGGATTTGTTGAGTTTTTCTTTTTCTTTTGGGCTTTAGGCATTAGGATTTTTGTCTTCTTGTGGAATAGGAATGGAATACAATCAAGCTAAGGTAAGGTCATTCTATTTTTTCTGGAACAAAAATGATTTTTTAAAGGGACACTGAATAGAGAGTCTACTCTTTAAGTGAAGGGCTCACTCTAGTGTGGTGGTTAAGAGCACAGCTCAATAGTTCAAGAAGTTTAGGGTCCTAATGCCATTTGTTTCTTAATGTTCCATATTATCAAGTTTCAGATAATATCTACTCCATAGGGGTTTTGTGATGTTTAAATGAAATATCATGTACAATCCCCTTTTCACAGACTCCAGAGCTCAATAAGCCCCCAGTGAATGGCAGCCATCTTTACAGAGAAAGATAATGAAATTTGTAATTTATTTTGGAGTAGTTCAAGGTTAGGAATAAAAAGGCAATGATTGGGTTTGAGTTTCAAATTTAAATGTCGAATAACCTTTTTTTAAACTTTAGGCACTGATATATTACACCTTTGGAAGTGCTGGAGGAAGCATGATATCCCAGATGATTTTGGTTTGTAATTAAATATTCTTAGGCCCAAACAGGTGTGTTATAAATATAGCATTGTCAAATATTAAGAATTTATATGTGTTTTAGGGGTACAGATATTTGTCAGGAATCAGTGTCCTACAGAATTGCGAAGTTGCCCTAAGTCATTACAAGAAAGTGGCAGATTATAGTGAGTAATCTACATAATTTATATTAAGATAAAGAGACTTGCCAAGCAATTAAAAAAACAAATCAATACTAGTTGAAATATTTACGAAAGTATTTAAAACTTATGCTTTAACATCGGTTATAATACAATTCTTTTAATACAATGTAGAGTTTCTGATTTCTTAATAGTTACTTTTCCAAAAGTTTTAAATGATTGTACTCATCTTTTATTTTTGTTAGTTCATGTCTCCAAACAATTCTGTTTTACCTGATCTTGTGATCTTCTTTCCTTAAACTGAGGATTTAAATATAACATGAATAAATATTAAGCAGTTTCTGTAATTCTAACATTTAGAATATGGGATGACTTGTTAAAAATTCCTGAAGAAATGGATGTAAGGTACATACCTTGGCAATCTCTATTGTTGCACTTGAGAACAATTCAAGTAACCATTATTCTATTACCCTATCCTTTGTCTACAAAAAACAGAGCACGAGGTTAATATATATTCCTAGAATCATTTTCAAAGTTGCATGTAATATTTCCTCATGCAACATCACTGAACCAGTCTACATAATAGAGTTTTAAATAAAAATCTGCTAAGAAGTGAATAGGGTAAAGTCCATGGTTAATTTCTATGATCAGAATAACATCTGAATTTACATCTTTGACATTATTAGGATATGAGAAAAGAAAGAAAAAAAAATTACTTTTGAATTAAAGATGTTATATATATCAAGATGTTTTTGTATGCTTAATGAAACTGGAATTACCAGATATATTTCAAATTGTGTAGTTTGTTAGGTTTACTCAACCATATATGAAATTTATTTTCAGACTATCCATAGGAAATAATTAAGAAGCGGTTCTTACTCTTGTATTGTAGTTTCAATATACCCAGTAAAAGTCAGTGATAGAAGGAGTTGGTTGCCTTCTTCTGAAATCTGTCTTCTTTCCTGAGCCTGCTTGTCTAGGATCTTACATATATTGATACAATATTTGTAAAGGCGGCAAAAAATAAGTAGTGTCTTGTACTTTTCTGAGAACCAAATAAGCAAAATTCTATCTCCTAAGGATATTTCTTTTCTCTTAGTAGACCAGATCTCTGCACAATTTAAAGAGAATAGGCCTAATAGTTTTTTCTGTAAGCTGACTGCTATCTCTTACAGTCTGTGTATTCTGGCTACTCTCTGGCTTGTTTCTATTCACAGTTGCTGACAAATTGGAAAAAAGTGAAGGTGTTCCAGTGGAAAAAGTGAGACTAACTGAAAGACCTGAAAATCTGAGTTCTAACAGTGAGATTTTGGACTGGGACATATACCAATACTATAAATTTTTGGCTGAAAGAGGAGATGTTCAGATACAAGTAATGTATACAGATAAGCTTGAATTTTTAGAACATGCAAATTACAAAGGGCTGAGTTCTCTCTGAGTCCTAGAAGGGTTAACAATGCTCCATCCTGAATGGGAAAGGGAAGAGAACCCCCTCTTTGTTCTACTCCTTTTTTGTCTGTATCTTTCAGTTCCTTATAGCCTATGGGAGAGCCAGTTGCAATAGTAATGGCATTGTTTTTTGCATTTACTCCTAAAAAAATTATTACAAAAAAAAAACTAGATTGTAATTATGGAAAAAAAGTACCATCCAATGTTGGTTTTAATATGAATGAACTCTTACCAGGATCCAGAAATACCCTGTCCTTGGAAATGGGAATGGAAATAGGACAGCATTCGTGTGACCTTTGAGAACCAAGAGTTAAGGCCACTAGGTTTGCGTGCCCGGGTGTTGCTGTACATCACCAGGCCAGCTTTCTGGCCTTGAGGAAGCCATATGACCAACATCAACCCAGTAAAACACAGAATTGGGAACGGTTTTCTGCTTCTTTTTTAAGACATGCCAATTGTAGCAAACTGGATCAATATACTGCATTAAAATCATCAAGTAATTTTTGTCTTTTCTTTATTGAAATGAATACTACTACTAAAATAATTGTCAAAACTCATCATTTCTAGGTATCTCTTGGACAGTTACATCTAATTGGGAGGAAGGGTCTAGATCAGGATTACTATGTAAGTCAATCTCAAGCTTCAGTCATGTGGGGTGGGAAGGATAATGGTGAGAGAGGTTGGTGGGGCCATGAAAGGTGAGAGGGTGGGTGGAAAAGTTGCTGGGGAAAGCCCACTGCTGCTTCCTTGGTCAGATCTGCTTCCCAGTTCTTCCCAGGAAGAACAAAATTCACTAGAGAAAGCACTTTTCCCACCTGCCTTCAAGTACAAAGGGGTAGAGGCCTGTGAAGGAGTAGCTGGGGCTGGGGAGTTTCCATGGTCCCACTGAACCCTCTCTCTTCCCACCCAAACTCACTGTTGAACTGGGGTTAGGTGAGGAGGTTACACCCATTCCCAAAGGCCAGCTGTGGAAAGTCTACCTGGGAGTTAACACCTCAACCCCCTTTGGCTAGATTAGAGGACAGACTGTTTCCAATATAATTAGGTATATTATTAATCATCTTTATACATTTGCAAAGCTCCTTTCAATCACTTTGATTAATCTTACCTGATCCCAGTGAGGTTAGAAGATTAATTAACAATCCACATTTATGGTGGAGAAAAAAGCAAATAAATTTGACCTACACAGGATCCTCCTCAGTAAGATGCCAAAGACGTTGGATGAGATCTTGTTGTAATCCTGATTGTGGTTTCAAGGCCCTAGATCCCCACAGATCTGGGGAACTAACTGGGATTCTTTTAAAAGATGATTTTGCAGCCCTTGTCATTTTATACAAGCCATGTGCTCACTGTCTCAAAGGAACACACACTCTATTTCAACATAGTCCCAATGGCTAAGCAATAGAAATAACGACTTAGTATGGCAGTTACATAAAAGACTGATCTGTTATTACTTTCTGTTTCACTTTATATTTTATTTTATGAATGTACCTTTGGTACTATAGTTTGTGTTTTATATGAGGTACTATACTCATTAGGTAAATGTCAAAGTTAATTTTATAAGATGTGATAAAATAGGTAGCAATTGAAATAAGCACATGCATCCCAAGACAGCTCAACTGAAGGTCTTCAGATTTTTTTAAATCTTCACAATAACTAAGGTTTTAGCTTCTTAAATGAGAAGCTCTGGATTCACATGATTCCAACATCAGATTTCAGCCTGCAATGAGTTTCTCTTGTTAACTATAAGATGCATAACTGAGAATTCCCCATTTCCATAAAGACAAAATTTGATTCTGAAGGTGCCCAAACCATGCCTTATACAGAATGCCCACTAAGCTTTGCAGAGTACATAAGATCCCACAAAGCTAAGCATTGGGCTGGCCAAAAAGTTCATTCGAGTTTTCTGTATGATGCTATGGAAAAACCCGAACGAATTTTATGGCCAGCCCAATACTTGCAGTCAGCTCTAGCCACAATGAACACCAGATGGGAGCTGTAGCTACCTCTATGTGAGAATGACGTGCAATCCCAAGGCTGGCAAGTCTGGTGCTGTAGTGGCAACAGCTAGGCAGTTGGGTATCACCCAGGAGCCCAGTCAGGCTCTACTGTGGGCTCATTCACATTCATTATCTCTGTTTTACAGATGAGAAGCTGAGGCTGGAGAGATGAAATAAATTGTTTCAAATCTCACAGCTAGGTAGTAAGATTGTTAAGAAGTAAAATTTGAACTCAGGATTTCCACATTCAAAGCCTGCGCTCTTTTCATTAAACTTTGCTTACTCCTGACCTGGGCAAAAACAAAACACAAATTAAAAAAACGCAGCCATTGAAATCTAGTTTCCTCATTTGTAAAGCAAGAAGAAGGAATGATATAATCACTCAGGTTTCTCCTGATATGTTGGGCCCCAATCTTCCCATCTAGACATCTAAAAAGGCTGGTTTAATTCCAGAACCATCCCAGTAGTTGGGCAAGCACAAGCTGGTCCTTCCTGCTTTCCTCAGTCTAATAAATCTGAGCTTGCATGGAGGACTCCAGTCAAGGTATCAAGACTGATTGGCTTATATATCAGTTAGCTTAGGCTGCCATCATAAGCCCCATTCCCAAAGTTAGGTGGCTTAAAACAACAACCATTTATTTAATTCATGATTTTGGCAGGTCAGTAGTTGTGGCTGGGCTCAGCTGAGTAATTCTTCCGAT